TGCTGCCAGAGGAGACGGGCGCGTAGTTAATCAAAGAACCGGAGACAACGGCTTGATAGCTACCGACAGAGATGCTGAAGTCGGGTAGTTGGGCAGAGCAAGGGAAAGTGTAACCCCCAACCTGCGGGTCATTCTTAGCGCCGGTAACTTGCTGGTAATAGGCAGATACAACGCTAGTATCGAGGAGCAGCAGGGTGGTTCCAGTGTCTAGTTTGCAGATTAGCGTGAGTAAGCCAATAGAAGAGGGAGTATGAGTCACCTGCCAGCAATCCCTGAGATAGAAGATCCAGCTGCGCCACTGCCAATCGTATAATTGTCGGCACTGAACATCCAAAACCCTTAGGAGCTATCGACCGGTGTATAGGCTAGTGAGCCGGTGAATTTCGTCTGATCGATGAATCCGAAGTCATAGACGCCAGGCTGGTTGTGCTTGAGGCAAGCAGCAAAGAGGGGCTGCGCGAGCTGCGACTTGACAGTATCAAAAAAAGTCAGCTGCTGCTGAGGAGTGACAGTATTGATAGAACTGAAAGCCAGGCCCAAGAGACCATCATTGTTCCTGTCTGACACGAACCGCTGGCTGACCTGCTCAGCGGCTTCAACGGCCTGACTAGTTGCCTGTACACCACCGACAGTAACAGTGTCTTGAAAGACATTACCACTAGCAGAGCTACCGTCACTATACGAAATGTTCCACGTGTAGCCACTGAGAGGGGTAGCGCTGCTTGGGTCATAGATGCTGTGCCCAGTCTGCTCTGAGGCGGGGAGCTTCGTTGAAAAGACCCAGAGATCGGACGAGCCAGTGTCAAAGTCAAGGTTCATAATAGTGTTACCAATGGTAACAGGACAGTCATACTTCTCGTCACTGGCCGAAGGAGTGGCTATGACTGAGCCATTCTCAACGGCGGCAAGGATTTTGTCGGGGATTTCGGCACCATGCTTTCCAAGAGCATGGGCGTACATGCCTGCAAGGCTGACCTTTCTGGGACCAAAATGCTTCCTAGCCACCTGATTGACCGAGAAGGTCTTGGACTTCGAGGTACGACATGAATCGATAGGCATAGCAGACGCGGCTATAGCGAGGGTCAAAGCAGAAGTCGCCTTGCTGAAGACAACCATGATAATGTTTCGAGTGAAGAATATACAGATTCACAAGAAAGATTCTATAGAAAATGTCGGCTATTGTGAAAAGCAGCCGGAGTCGAGGTCCCCTAATGATACAAACATATATTTTACTGTCTGAGAAAATATACAGTACTGAGCCAGAAAAAAAAAAAAAAAAAAAAGAAAACCGAAATATCTGGCCTGATGTATTGTGTGAAATACTGTCCAGGCTAATGACGCGGTAGTTCAGTTTGTGCGAGAGAAAGAGCAAAATCCGTAGGGTCCCAGTTCATAGGGCGGCAGAAAGAAAGTAGAATACCCGTAATATCCAGCTTGGAATAATTTGACAATTATCAATATCAATCTAGGTATTCTTCTGCCTCCTCTCATTGTCTGTTGAACAACGCATGGGATGACTCACAACGCTTGGGACAACAAAGTTAGGAATTTTTATTTCTAGTGCCCTATTGAAAAGGCTCACGCCAAGGCGGCTGCTGCTATCTCTAGTGAGACAAAATTGGCCACTTTCAATAACTCCCAGGCGCAAATTTAAACATAGGTGACGAAAGAATCTCACAAATTGGTCAGTCAACGCAGCCGCATTTGTTAAATACGAGTGTAGCCAATTTCATCTAAGAACTCCGGTATTATATACGCTCTTCTGTTCAACATTGATTGCAAAATTTGTTCATGTTTGACTGTATCCCCTCTGTTCTAGATGCAGTTTGCATCACAAAGTCTATCCAAGTTCACCTGGTTATGGCCGTGTTGTATACTGCTCTTCTGTTCAACACGGGTCGGATCTATATGAAGATGTTGGAGTTAGGACTAATTACGTGCCTGGCCAAGTTAACTAAGCCCGACCCTGATTGGCTGCTCAAAATTTTCTGTTCACCATTTGATTATGTCCACTAGGTTGTCGATAATGAGGGCCATTTCATTTCCTTTGTAGGGTAGCGACCTCTACTAAAAAAAGAAAGGACAGCTGTTCATGTCTCTATAGATATCTGTTAAACTAGCATTCAAGACGTTTTTCAACATGCTGGGCCTGTGACGTTTCTAGCGCACAGTCGATTTGCCTGACGGAAAGGACCCAATTCTGTAAATCAGAAACGAACTAGATTACTTAACATGTGTCTGGCTTAGCCCACTGTTGAACTTCAATAAATAGCACAATAATTGCTATATTTCATTCTGAGCGCAAAATACGGGTTGATAACACGTATAAATGGTTGAAAAGAGAAAAGGGCCGCGTTGAACGCCGCTAACAAAGGCAAACAGCATAGCAGTGCTGATATTTTGCCGTTGAACTGCAGGGACGCACTCACCATGGTGCAGGCGAACACAGCCACACTCATGGGGTCAGATTGCAGTGTTGCAGCACGTATAGCTAATGTTCAACGGCAGGGTGGACCTAACGCTCCACGCAAGTGAACTGGGAGAGGTTCGTCTGATCCAACCGCAGTTGCGGTACTGAGAGTCACGGGTGAACGGTAGGATAGATCCAACACGCCGCGCAGATGAACTCGGCCAGATCCGTGTGATCCAACTGCAGTATTGCAGAACAGACATCCAGTGTTGAACGGTAGGGATGAATGTTACATGGTAGAGGTGAACTTGGACAGTCTCCGTGTGATCCAACTGTAGCGTTGCAGTGCTGATAGTCGCCGTTGAACGGCAGGGATGGCTCAAGGACGCCACCGAGGTGACTTTGTCAGACTCTATGATCCCAATTGTAGCTAACATGACACAATTTTTGAGTCGATGGTGTCAAGACTGGCGTGATGTTAACCGTAGCTGCGTCATGGTGCTCACATTTTGTAGCAAATTGGGGTATGGGGTACATCATTTGTGTTGGCCGTGTTCACCCCAATGTGACACTAACTGCAGCTAACACGATCTGCTCTATGGACCCTGTCCAGACTCGCGTGAATGCAATCCCATACATACTACGGCGGCCGACTCATGGAAAGTCCCTTTCCTGCCACTGTCAGCTCCTCAGCTTCGAGAATACACCGGATGGCTGCGTATTTTCGACCATAGCAAGCCCCATTCTCGCAGCAGGAAAGATGAGCCATGAGGCGGACCGCGTCGACCCGACTCTCAGAGCATCTGTATTTGGTTAACATCAAGCTCTTCTGAGAACTACTATGCATAATACAGGTCTTCTGTTTAACATAGGCTGCAAGTTCTGTTCAATTTTGACTGTATCTACTCCGTTGCTGAGATGGTTGACATTCAGAGATCTAGCCAAGTTTAACCTGTGCATCCAGCATTAGGAGGGCCCTCGCTCTCAAAGGCTGGTCCAAGAAGATAGCTCGACAAAGGGCCAAAGAGCAAAACGCCGATTTGCGAGAGTTCTATCTTCATAATTTGTCCGAATTTCAATCATATCACCTTGTTCACATTGACGAATCTGGATGTGATAAAAGGATCGGGTTCAGACGGATAGGCTGGTCACCACTTGGCGTGGCCCCTGTCTAGGTGTCTTAGTTCCACCGTGACGAGCGGTATCAGATATTGCCTGCATATGCCCAAGATGGAATTGTTCTCTCGCGCGTCTTCCGCGGCTCTACGGATGCCGCTTGGTTCGAGGACTTTATCGATCAGCTTCTTTAGCACTGTGGAAGATAGCCGGAGCCGAAATCCGTTCTGATCATGGACAATGCGTCGTTTCACCATACCGAGCGGATTGGGCAGATGTGTGAGGAGGCAGGTGTAAAGCTACCTTATCTGCCACCCTACTCACCGGACCTGAACCCCATTGAAGAATTTTTCGCCGAACTTAGGGTCTTCATTAAACGTAACTGGAACTATTTTGAAGAAGACCCCGACAGAGGATTTGGTTCTCTTCTCGAATGGTGTATTGATAAGGTTGGTGCAAAAGAGGAGAGTGCTAGAGGCCATTTTCGGCACGCTGGGGTAGCCATAGAAGAGGAGTAGTACCTTTTATTTGTAGTTGAACATCAAAGACGAGCTTCTCTCGCTCAGATATTTCATCCAGGTATAAATCCGGCTTCTCTAGCAAGTGGTCGCACAATGCTTCGATCATGACGGGAAGGATCGCACGTGGACGGCCGCTAGGGAACAAGGGTGCTCGGACATCACCAAACATTCGTAGGTTGGCACTGATGGTTATAATCGAACGTTTGCTGCAGCCAGCCGCTTCGGCCATCTGAGAAGTAGTTAAGATTTGCTACTAATCATATCGCGGATCATCACAAGCTGGAAGAGCGCAAGTCGTGGCGCCATAATAGTCTTTGTCGAGCTGTCAAGCAAAGAAGTTTATGAGGTGGCCAGGGGCTCAGGGCCACGAGATGGATCTGGGTCGGTTCGGGCCGACATTGGAGCCGTCAACCAGTACGAACCAGTACAGTGGCACCTCCAAAGTCTCCGTCCCTTTCTAAGTACCTGTCATTTACCGCCTAGCTAGGTGGGACATACCGGCCATTAACTACAATTTATGAGTGCTACAGCCGCTATTTACTGGAAGAATAATTAGCGCGGTACCTCAAAGGGACGGAGACTTTGGAGGTGCCTCTGTACTGTACCCACTAGACAGATTCCGTCTGTGTTCTCTTGAGCACGATAAAATTAGGTCGTGGTATTTTACCTTGAATATATGGCAGTTTTCGCTTCCTTGTGCACTACTGTGATTGCGTCTTTAGACTGAGCTTTTCACTAGTTAACTAGGGGAACGCATGATTAGTCAAATTGGCTCGTGAGGTGCTCTCTGGATCACAGCCTGGCGCCCGGCGCCTAACTTACCCCTCTTTATCTCGCCAGAAAAGCCCGACCTACAAAAGCCCGACCTACAATTTCGAACCCCAATTTTTACACTTGAGTCGTTATCGTACCCACCTACGTGGAACATAGGCTTTTATACCGTCTCCTTCCAAATGGATGGTTTATCCTCGGCGTCGAGCGTTATCGCAGTCATTCAACTAACGGGAAACCTCGTGAAGCTTTGCGGGGGCTACATTCAAGAGGTAAAAGATGCACGAGACGAAATTTTTACCTTACAACGGTCGATTGCAGGCCTCCACGGGACACTCCAAGACCTACAGAGATTCCTTCAAAGTAACGACGGAAAGGCCCTACCTACCTCCTCACGTCTAGTCAGCAATATTACCGATTGCCTCTCCGACCTCCGAGCCTTAGAAGCGAGACTTGATCCAGGAAAGGGAGAGAAGCTGATGAGGAAAGTGGGATTCCGAGCCCTAAAGTGGCCCCTGAAACGCAAAGAGGTGGAGGGCGTTACTCAGAACCTCGAGAAATATAAATCTTCATTCCTCTTGTCTTTACATGTGGATCAGAGGTACGTTTATCGAGCACGATTATGACTCTGTATAATAGACTCAAAGACTGCATAGTTCTCTGATGGTCGGCGTGGTCCATAATACCGATCGTATTAATCAACATCTGGATCTTGGGAAGTTAGAAGGCGCCATGGAGGCAGGGTTTGAGTCATTCTCCGATCGAGACGAAGTCCAATGTCTCCAAGGCACTAGGACCGAGCTCCTCCAGCAGATAATGGAATGGGCTATGTCGCCGTCCCAAAAAAGCATTTTCTGGTTAAAGGGAATGGCTGGGACAGGAAAATCCACAATATCTCGGACTGTGGCACGGTCGCTCAAGGACACCAACCATCTAGGTGCTAGCTTCTTCTTTAAGAGGGGTGAAGGGGACCGAGGAAACGCCAAGAAGTTTTTCCCGACATTAATAAGGCAACTGATGCTCGGGATCTCTGAGCTGAGGTCTAGTGTGCAAAAGGCACTCGATCATGACCCTGACATTGCGTCAAAATCGCTTAGGGAGCAGTTTGAGAAACTACTCCTTCAACCGCTGCTCAATCTTAACCAACTCGGCCGACAACCTCAAACCGCTGTGATGGTGATCGACGCGTTGGACGAATGTGAACATGATCAAGATGTCCGAAACATAATTCGATTACTGCCTCTTCTACAGAAGGCAAAAGCGGTTCGCCTTCGGATCTTCTTGACTAGCAGGCCGGAACTCCCAATCAGCCTCGGCTTTTCAGACATCGCGGATCATGAATATCAGGACCTAGCTCTTCATGAGATACCCGAAAAAGTGATAGAACACGACATACATTTATTCCTACAGGACCGATTTGCGAAGATCAAACACGATAGAAATATTTCCCAAGACTGGCCCGGCGATGACGTCATCCAAGAATTGGTCACGATGTCCGTTCCACTGTTTATTTCGGCTGCCACTGTGTGCCGTTACATCGAAAATGCAAAATGGGAGCCCAAATTGCGCCTCGCTGAGCTTCTCACGGACCAAGCCAAATACATATCGAGAATGGATAAGACATATCTGCCAATTCTGACACAACTACTAGACGATCAAGAGAGTGATGAGTCGGAGCAGCAGCAGCTCCTACAAGAGTTTCAGAGTATAGTCGGTGTCATCATCCTTCTTGCTGTTCCGCTTTCTATAAATGCACTGTCGCTGTTTCTCAGGGTAGGTGCAGACCAAATCAGCAATCGATTGGTTTCATTCCGATCGGTTTTAAGCATTCCCAGTGACCGAGATCAGCCTGTTAGGATTCTACATCTATCGTTCCGGGATTTTTTGGTCCAGTCTAGAACCAAGTTTCTTGTGGATGAGCCAAAAAAGCACAAAGACATTGCTAAGTCCTGTATCAAAACCATGCGGATTTATCTACAGAAAGATATCTGCAATCTAGCAAGCCCTGGAACGCATAGGGCAGACATTGACTCTCAACATATCCGCCAGTGTCTACCACCGGAATTACAATACTCCTGTCGCTACTGGATACACCATCTCGAACGAAGTCAAGCCTTATCTTCCGAGATAGAAGATGTGCGACTATTCCTCCAGAAGCATTTTCTGCACTGGGTAGAAGCAATGAGCCTACTAGGTCTTGCATCAGAAGTAATAGGAATGCTTAATCTGCTCCAGTTGGCTATACCAGTAAGTTCTATATATAGTCATATATGATCCATACTAATAGACATAGGGCGACCAAGATTCCGCAATATCTGATTTTCTGCAAGATGCGAAGCGCTTTATTCTTAAAAATCGCCAGATAGCCGATGAGACGCCTCTTCAGCTTTATTACGCAGGACTCATATTTGCCCCCCAAACGTCAATAATACGGAGAGAGTTCAAAACGGAACTTCCTACTTGGATATGCCAGTTACCACGAGTTGAGGAAAGATGGAGCGCAGAATTGCAGGCCCTCGAGGGCCATTCCGGTTGGGTTTGCTCGGTGGCCTTCTCACCCGACGGCCGGCTGCTGGCGTCCGGCTCTAATGATAAGACCGTGCGCCTCTGGGACCCGGCGACGGGCGCGCTGCAGCAGACCCTCGAAGGCCATTCCGATTCGGTTCGGGCGGTGGCCTTCTCACCCGACGGCCGGCTGCTGGCGTCCGGCTCTGGAGATAAGACCGTGCGCCTCTGGGACCCAGCGACGGGCGCGCTGCAGCAGACCCTCGAGGGCCATTCCGGTTGGGTTTGGGCGGTGGCCTTCTCACCCGACGGCCGGCTGCTGGCGTCCGGCTCTAGAGATAAGACCGTGCGCCTCTGGGACCCGGCGACGGGCGCGCTGCAGCAGACCCTCGAGGGCCATTCCGATTCGGTTCGCTCGGTGGCCTTCTCACCCGGCGGCCGGCTGCTGGCGTCCGGCTCTAGAGATAAGACCGTGCGCCTCTGGGACCCGGCGACGGGCGCGCTGCGGCAGACCCTCGAGGGCCATTCCGGTTGGGTTTGGGCGGTGGCCTTCTCACCCGACGGCCGGCTGCTGGCGTCCGGCTCTAGAGATAAGACCGTGCTCCTCTGGGACCCGGCGACGGGCGCGCTGCAGCAGACCCTCGAGGGCCATTCTGGTTGGGTTCGCGCGGTGGCCTTCTCACCCGACGGCCGGCTGCTGGCGTCCGGCTCTGGAGATAAGACCGTGCGCCTCTGGGACCCAGCGACGGGCGCGCTGCAGCAGACCCTCGAGGGCCATTCTGATTGGGTTTGCGCGGTGGCCTTCTCACCCGACGGCCGGCTGCTGGCGTCCGGCTTTGATGATAAGACCGTGCGCCTCTCTGTGAGCATCGACGGAATGGTCACTGACCTCGGATTCTCTCATGATTGTTCATATCTCAGCACCAATCTGGGGTCCCTCGATATTAAGTCCAGATGTGGCAATCGTATCTCCAATTCATCTAAGAAGAATCTAGATATATATATACAGTGGGAGCATTGGATAGTTTTGAACGGTGAACAAGTATTATGGCTTCCTCCTGAGGCTCGGGCTTGTTGTTCAGCGATTACAGCTAATACGCTTGCCCTGGGACACCCATCAGGTCGAATTTCCTTCATAGAATTTCGGGCATAATAGGCGCCAATGATTTTTATTCCTCCTCCTTCCTCTATTTTCTATTATCTTTGCAAGAGGAGGGCCTAGGAGAGGCAGCGAATTTATTTGGACTAATCTTTTCCTAGAACGCGCTACATGGTTCCACTGGATTCGAATGCAGTGACGAATCCACGGTGTGTAGTCGCCACAGTTCTATCTCGCTAAGGTACATTTGGAACAATTTGCCACAGAACCCTATTTTTCCCCTTGGTCTCCGTAAATAGTATATTGTCGATTTTATCTGGCTCGGGTATAAAGCTCAAAGGGTTACTTTCGACGCGCGTTAAAATTAAGAAATCATAAAAAGGATATGCAGTTGCTCAGTAAATTCAACCATAGTATTTAATAATAATCACCAAGTCATTCTACACTCCTACGTACTGCTATATTCGAAAACAGATTCCCCGATGTTCACTCGCAGATTGTTTCCCGAACCCTATCTTGAAACCCGCTAGTCTAAGTTTAGTTAGTTCCTCAAAAATGCCCTGTCAATTTGTATCGTCTTGCATGAACGGTAATAAATGAGTCATCGTATAATACTGTAACCCTCTAAGGAACCTCGTGGAATGTTCTCTGCAAATGGTCCAGTGTGAGTAGACTAGCGATCTCACCAGATCGCTGCCTACCTCCCTCTCCTTCACCACGCACACTACCTTCCTCCACACTCGTTTTAGACATACCACACTCGTTTTTTCAACTAGAAGGCCGTACCGATGCTTAGAACAGTTATAACTTTGGTAGGAGATCGCGCGTCTTTATTTCCATGGATTACAGTATCTCCCCGTTTGTGATTTTCATTCGTTACTGGTGTCTGTCAAACGCCGGTATTCCCAAATAAGCTGACATGAGCTCTCAAGGGCTGAGACTGGATCTAGAAATGACTCAAAGTCCATATCATGTCGATTCCATCTCTCAGCCCGAAGAGCTCGATCCATAGGAACAGAACTCCTAGTACGACCCAAGCCCAGGATTCTTTAGCAGCCCCCACAACACGCGATCCATTTATAGTCCCTCCCCTTCCTATGTGGCTGAGAATGGCAATGAGACCGTAAGCCAATCGCGAATAAATACTCTCAAGCTACTTTAGTTGTCTGAGTGGAAAGAAAATAGAGTCTACGACGGAATACCCGCCAACTAGTATCCACTACCTCATAGGATGGGGTGTATAAAACCAACAAAAGGGTTGTATAAAAGGACACAGAGGAAGACCTCGTTCTGGCTCTAAGCGCCCACTGGCGGCTGTTTCTAGAAAACAAAGTATAGGATGTCCTTCGATGTAAGGTCTCCCGCAACCAAAGGGTGAGGGCTAATGTCACAGCGTTTGTCGTGTCTATAAGGGATCGTTCGTAGCGTGCTCTGACCAAACGGTTCTATAAGACCGATATCAATTAGACTGTCGTCGATAAACAGCTCTAGAAGTGGTCGAATCTGTTCTGCCAAGGCAAGGAACTGAGATTGAGTATTTGTTTTAACTATAAAGACGACTAAGACTCTCCGACCGCTCGACGGAAAGGGGAGAGACGAGGTACAGTAAATCATCTGTAACAAGAAGGATATTCGATGAGCGAGACGCACAGCTTGATGCTAAATAGGAGTCTTCTAGTCGGAAACCAATCTAGCGTAGCGTCTATAATTTGATGCGATGCGATTTGTCTTCGTGCCACCTAGGCCCCTACTATTGGCTAGACCTAATAGGAAAAAGGCACTCTCGGTGCGTGTTTCAGGTTAGGGTTCGGGAATTAATCCGTGTGGGGATGTTGGTATATCTGATTTCGAATATCGCTGGGCCATCGGGAGAAGAACGGCACGCCCCTTAAGCGCCGAGGCCTACTACACTGCTATTGGGCTCCAGACCGAAGAGAACATACCAAGGGATGCCACGGGACCTCCTTTGAAGCATGACTGACGTGTCCTGTACGACCGAAGGGACTGGGACGTGTCAAATTTCTAGAGACGCGGAAGGCTGTCAGATCCCGCGAACCAACCAACGCGGATTAGGATTCCTTGGTGGGCCCACCACTTAACAGAACTACTAAGGTATGTCCATTACCGGCACGCTTATCGGAAGCAATGGTTTAGGCATTATTTGGTGAGATGCTACGCTAGAGGGCAAATCTTTTTTTGGGGTAAGTAGGAGTTTTGTCAAACGGTGTATGGTCTATTGAGCCCGGTAACGTGATTGGCTCAAGCACAAAACGTGGTTATGACCATATTAGGAAGAACATGCACATGCAAAATCTGCGGCCGCATGCATTATTCTGTATAGTACAGAGTGCATTTACCATACAAGGCCAGGTGCAGATAACATAGCGATCATGCTTTGCAAATCGAAGCCTAAGATTCTTTTGGGGGCAATACCCCGCTTCTTGCCTAGAAGCTGTAACGCATTGCCTATGTTCTAGGCCGCAACAACCGGCATAGTAGGTACGCTTTGGCCCCCTGGTCGTGGTTCTTAACAATCGACAGAGTGGGCCGGAATCAAGGAATAAACATCATTTGTTTCTTGCCTATCATTCAAAAAATGTGAACAGGGGGTAATTAAGCCTAGGATGAGAAAAGAGGTGTCTAGTACAAAGGGAAAGATTGTATTTCATACTTTGCAAGAATTTCACGACGCCTCGGAGAAGAGCGCTGTTTGTTCCTACCATTTAAGCCCAAAACTAATCCACTTGATTTTTAGCGTAAAAAGGAACGATAGCTGTTTCTGTCCCCTTTAGGTTTAGTAGCTATTTTATACTAATAAAAAAGGGAAGATCTGCAACCGCTATAAAAAGGAGTCGTCGAAGACAGACGAAAGTTTAACTACGGTAGATTAAACCCTTAAGCAATGCTAGCGAACATGCATATGACTGTCAGATACCGCGTAGTAGCATCTGCCACATTCCTTAGTTAGATTCCAGATACGGTAGATATTTGTCGAACTATAAGGCACTAGGCCAGGGACATACGCACATGACTATGAGGCATGCGGTGGAGAATCTTATTTTTGTTGAATGTGATCCCTCTTCTGCTAATTGCCCAATTATCGGTTGTTCTCAGATGCGGTAGATATTTGTCGAATTGTAAGCCACCATGCCAGCGACCCATGCATAGGATTTCAATCGTAACATCATATGGAGCAACATGTCCATCAAATGGTAGGAATACTACGTGCGCACCTCCGGCGTCATTGCCATAATTTGCGTCATGGTCATCAGTTGGGCATTACCCGTCGCTTTCACAGGTCTGCCTTCGCAGTTAGCATATATCGAAGGTGCATTTCCATGGCTATCATGGATGGGCACGTTACTAGAGTCGGTTTTATCTGCTATGCAGGGCGTTTTGCCGGCTCTTTGCATGGCAATCCTCATGGCACTTTTACCAATATGTCTTCGCCTATTGAGCTGGGCTCAAGACTATGGTTTCGAAACCACTGTGGTTCTGGGACTACAGATAGTCGAAAACAGATTCTCCTTTGGTCTAGCAGCGATTGTTTCTCGGCCCGTACCCAAAACTACGCTAGTCTGGTCCATTGCGGTCCTCTATACACAACCCCTGCTTAGCTGTATCGCGTCTCTCAACGTATTGGATTTATCGCTCATTGAGTCATTGTAAAATACTGCAAATCTCTACAGAATGTTTTGGCAAATTCTTGGAGTGGGGGATCTGGCGACGTGACTGAATCCTGTCAGCCAGGGCGGTGAAGTATGGACAGAAAGACCACTCGATGTTCGTTAGCTGCACTTACTCTTACACAGTTACCTTTACCGGAATTTGATCCACTGATACGGACCCTCTTCAGTACGAGCAACGTGAGTCAGAAAGACTAGACTTCTGATTACCTTGCGCAGCGTACGCGGCTCTTATGCAGACCCCCGGTACTGCCCCACAAACCTCCAGATGACGAGGGTTTGACTCGTTCTGAAGCTCCTAGGGCGAGTTTGCCACCAGTGGCTTTTCTGATTCGGAAGGTTTCAATTACCAGAGCTACAAGAGGTATACGTATTATTGGCGGCAATTGCTTGTATTTCGCACATGGTGCTCGACCCCGCTTACCGCAAAAGGCGAGCCTCGAACCGCCAACCAATGAGATCGGCCCGGTATGTCATCGCTCGATGCTTTCAACTTTGCCCTGGTAAACCTGTGGCGGCCGCGTAACCTAAGCAAAAGACGTTTGGCATATTCAAAAGATTGGTTAATTGGGTCGTAGAAGTCCTTCGCAGGGGTTAAATACACCACTAGAACATCCTTGTCGCCGCCAAAGCGCTTTTTCTATAACAGAAGAAACATCCAGTCGAATTAACGGCAAATATTTCCCCCGGCGGAGCTGACTGGCAAATGAGTCACCCAGTGACCCAGCGACTTTCCCTGACTATACACAATAAGTTGGCGGAGGGCACTATCGTGTTGAGGAATGTCACCTGTCTCCGGTACAATCTCCCTTGAACTTTGTATATCGCCGTGACTGATACTCACTGGTCGGGAATTGTAGCGGCCAAGCGTACCAAGAAGGCGACCCGCCTAAGCTCACCAACCTGGAAGAGCTCGAAAATATATCAATCCGACATGGTCAAAGTCAAGTGGTGTCGTGCTGTGGAAGTGCGACGTACAAATTGGGGGTTGAGGGCATGCTAGATCTTTATCACGACGAGCGTCGGATCACGTCCGTTTACTGGAACGGGCCTTGGAAGAGGGTTGGAAATCAGCTTCATTTGGCCAGCGTTGACGACAAAAATTATGAAGTGACCGTGTCTATTCCTTCTGACAAGGGGATACTGGGAGATCTCGCTGTTGAAGTCGGCGAAGTTCACGCTAGTTATTCAGTGCAGGATGGACGATGACACGACACATGATGTGTATAATAACTTATAAATGCTCGTCAATCAGTGTGATCTTTAGTAAAGGACATATTGGTAACGACGAAGCGATATAGTAGGTAACTACCAAACGGTATTACTTAGAACTCTTGGTGGCGTTGTCATGGGGGTAATAAGACGATTCCAATGGTTGGAGGGGTTATCATTTTAGCTTTACCAGAGCTTTCACTTAAGGTTCTTGACGCTAGGCCAAAGAAAGTATCCGGATTACGTCCGCAAATCACGTGATGGTTCTCTTGGACCGTAAACGGCTTCGAAAACCTTCCCGCAAATCACAGATGCGGTGTAACACTGACTCGGCGATGACACGTTAGACCTAGGCAACATTACGCCTACACTGAATGATAAATGCAAAAGTTCAGGCCGGCCAAGAATGCTTGTGCTTTCTATTTTCTCGGTATTGAACCACGTTCTACTTATTTTCGTGCTCTATCTCCATACTCGCACCCGTCACGTACCTGCCGTCCGTACTTAATGCCGATCATTTGCAATCCCTCGCAATAGCACCACAGGCCTACGGAGCACTAATATCTATGCGGTACGATGAAAATTTGGATCAATTTCCACCGCTTGGCCTCCCGAGCGCTTCACGGCCAATACGGAAAGATTCATGATGAAGAGCGCCTCAAAACAGAGTCAGGACTTCGGCGGAGACAGCGGCGCACAAATCGATGGGTCGCATGGCCAAGCAGGGAGACAGTTTTCCTCTTCTTGGTAAACCTAGCCATCATCGGACTGCTACTCCACACTCTCAAGCCTCTGATCACTCTTCTGCGCAGAAATAAAGAGCTTTTCAGCCCTCGGGTGGCTCTGCCTAGCTCTCATATCTTATATAATCGGAATTGCACTGCCAAATCGTGTTATATACCGCTCATCTTGCATCAAACCACTGCGAAGGATACAATCCCAGATCAATGGGTCCGGTCGCAAAAGAGCTGTAAGCAAGCTTACGCGGACTTTGAATACAAGGTATATCTATCTATATGAAATTGTGTGAGTCGTTAACCTGCGACGGCTACATAACATGATATACGAACCCTCTTCTTATGAATTCCACTAACTATTCTTGATAGTTGTGGACTGATGCATCGGCTCGGGATTTCCTTACCAATCACTACCCATGGTTCGTGGAGACCTGGGACAACTACGCTTTCCCTATCCAGCGAGCCGACTCAATCCGCTATTTTGTTTTGCATCACTATGGTGGTATCTACCTCGACATGGATACCTGGTGCAACGAAACTCTGCCCCTTCACAAACTCGGATCAGGCATAGCAAAACATTATGCACTTTTTAAATCCACCCATCCAACGGGTGTCACAAATGACCTCTTGGTCACCTCTGCGAACCATCCCGCCTACTCAGCGGCGATTGCCCAATTACCCGTGTTCCACGCTATCACCCGAGTCTGGGCCCGATGGCAGCCACACTGCGCTATCATGATCTCCGCCGGTCCTATGTTCCTGACGATGGTGCTGAAGGAATACCTACTCAAGCAACCCTCGTTACCCTCGCCGACAGTTGGGGTCATCAACGCAACCGAATTAGCACCATACATTACTGACCTCGAAAGTAGCACTTGGCATCGAGCGGATGCGAAGGTGTTTATGTGGATTGGGGATCGACCGTGGACGTGGTTCAGCATGGGGGCAATAGGGCTTGCCGCTGGTCTATTTATTTTCAATCGCGGGCTCATTTTCCTTTGTGATGTTCTTCACAAGACTCTCGGTAATCCTGGCTCCAAAGTTTTCAAAGCAGCATGAGATGACATGCTTTTGTTACTATTAGGCTTGCTGAATAATTCAGCTGGCCGCCTTGAACATAGATTCATGCACTGTTCACGTCCTATGCGCTGTTCAGACGGTAAGCTAATCAGTACCCTGATTGCCAGCTCCCTCATTTTTAGTTGCAAATTGGCCCCACTTATGTTCAATATTCAGTCCAAGTCTATCGATAAGTACCTCCATTAGGTGTGGAAACTAGGAGTCCTGTCTAGAACGCGTTGAGCTCTTTTCTCTGCGTGCTTCAATTGTAAAATTGTGCCAGTGAACACCTGTCTGTTTATACAACGCAACGATCGAAAATACAGGAGAATTTTATATGCGAAGGGCCCACTCGCATATAAAATACGTCATTTAATATTGCCAATATAATCCGACAAAACTCCTGGACACATGTGATCCAGAGCCAAAGCAGCTTATGACTAGTCTAGTTTATAGATAGGGATTGCTTTCTCTACGTTCTCAACCAAGCGGCGAATGTCTTCTACAAACCGTCGAACAATACCGATATTTATGCTCTTGATGATAAAGAACTCCTTCAAGGTCAAGACCATTCTCGAGCATCACGTCGCAGACTTGTCGAAATGCAGTCTTGAGGTGTCATTCGTGACCTTGGACACCTGTCACTCACTGCGTCCTAACTCTCATTCTACTTATTAAAAGATAAAGTCGGTATGATCAAGTGCATAGAAAGCTCGGAGAGGTATTCTTTTTACAATTGTCGTTGGTAAGTAGGCTTTTCAGTGTGTGTATTTAGGAGAACCTTTATCTTGTCAATCTTTCATTCTAAGCGTGCTCGGGGTTGGTGAAATGATTCATCAATAGTGACGGTATCTACACCTTCACGATCTAGTATACGCGACATAATTTCGCAACTCACGAGACCAATTTGGCGTACCCCAATATCGTATTTTAAGACCGAGCTCATGGACTATTTGCACCTGTTGACGAAGATTGAAGAGTTGGCTCTCTGAGCTCTCTGAGAATCCATTGAAATCAATATCTCCAATCGCTCTGTGGAAATCGGCGGAAGCATAGTAGCTATTTTGCTTGCTGTAGTCGGAGTTTCGAGGTGGAGTGTGCGAGGACTGAGGTGAGAGTTCTAAGAGTGGAGCATCGTAGAATATACCCCTAAAGGGGCTTCGTTCTAAGACGCGATAGAACGGCACATTTCCAGTAGCAACAATTTTGATTGGACCTTGCACAACCTCTGACCCATTAAAATAAGTTAAATAGCCAGCTTCTCGAAGAGGCTTAAGATGTGAAAGAAGTTGAGACCATATACGCTCTGGGTCAGCATCAAAGTCCATCAGCAGCACGAGGGTTTGTGTAGGGTCAATTTCCACGCTAAGAAGGTCATCCTCATTTTTGTTTGCCCCAGAGTGTAGACCTTCTAGCTTTGTGTTGTGCTCTCGGATTATCTCTAGCAGAGGACCAATGTAAACTCCCCGGAGGTTTATTGCTTGTGACAGCATATCAGGGTTTGGTGCAACCAAAACATCATTTCCAGCAGGGAAAAGCGTCATTTCAATGCTCATGCAGCCTGAAGAGATCGCGGACTGCAATGAGATACGACGTCCATGGGCGTTGTGCGAATAACAGGTGACAGGAATTGTATCGTGTGCCGTCCAATGTGAGAATAACGAGAATTCATTTTCGAGGATATTGAAACCCTGAGAGGGGGACCCCGGGTGCACTCGAAAGAGAGCGTTGTCAGCTTGCTGGGCCAAGTAAAGAAGCTTGTAGATGCCACTGGCTCAGCCGAGGTATTAGTTGTGCACAGCATGAAACCTGGGAAGTGTTAGGGAGGGAAGAAACAATTCTTACATGATAATCAACAAACCCAGCAACAGCACCGTGCTGCTCGGCTGGATAATGCTCGCATCGAGGATGGCCAGGATTGGTAGCATAAGGCGCTGTAAAGAAAAAAAATCGGGCGAATTTCTCTCTGTGCTTCTCCCGGGCGGTAGAAGCTCCCAAGCGTCCGAAGTTTATTGCGAGGAAATGGGGGCTGCCTTGATGAGTTGGAGGGCCAAGGGTCGTCATAAGCGTTAAGGGTATAACCCCTAGGAAGCATATCTACTCCACTCGCGCCTCCTATGGAGTGCTTAATCATCATGAGTGTTTGATCCCTGCTTCTACAGAACAGAACCCTAGAAAGGGTTCCTAGGCTTACGAGTGCTGTCCAAATCCGGAAAGCGTCTGCCTTGACCCTCAACCCAGGGCGGTACAGAGGGCGTAATGGCGTCCAGTCACCGTCTTCTGGTAATGACTGTGATGTGGGCTAATACATGGTCTGTGCGGAGTTCGGCAAACTGCCCGTGTTGATCTGCTAAGCTCAATTTTCCCGGAAAACTTGACCAGCAGAACCAATCCGGAGCCGCCAGTGACATCTTCATCTTTACAGTAGTGGTAAATTATCACGCTTCAGGTTGACCCCTTTCTGTAAGACCCTGATCCCTTCCGGGACGCCCAGAGGACGTAAAGCTTGTATGAGCTTTCTACTCATCCAGTTTGCTGTCATTGCGTGCTATCTGCTCGATCTGGCGCCCTTGAATCATGGATCGAACTCACCTTCAAAGGTGGATAAGACCCCCCTCCCCCCCCAACCCCTTTAAGGAGTCTTAGGGGACGAAGAATATTCTCGAACAAAGTTTGGTTCTCGGTAAACTAATCCTACACTTTCCCACGTCTTTTTATTCCATTTCCTTTGTTTTTCCTGATAATTTATTTCCTTTCATTTTGTGGCTTAAACCGTATCTGAAACTTGGATATACCGTATAACCGTAACAAACTGGCCCCCCACGGCTTTTCAGCGTTGAAAAGCGGTGTGGGTAGACGTGCTACTTGCGCTATGAAATTAGGGGTGATAAATCCTTCTTCTGCCCACACACTTATCTCCGTGTCTCAATTCGTCTGCTCTTTCTGAGTGTAGAGCTCCGAAGCTATCTGGTGACTGTGATAAATTTATGTATATCCACGATGGCAAATGAACCGAGTCACTTTGAGCCTGCTTTAATTTCTGGCGGGAAATCCCCCTTACGCTTGGCTTTTTCTTACGTGCTTGACTGGATTATTATTATGTCGGTGCAATTACCTCCAGTCAAAAATCCCGATCATCTGCTAATTTTGGGTATCAAGTATCGTCGCTGGTGTTGGTGGTTACTTATACAAGATTACCGGGTACAACCATGCATTTTCTCTCGATGATCCGTCAATATCCTATCCACTCGTCGCGAACACCGTTTCCATCACTATCGTCGGCATAGTCGCTTGCGCCGTACCCGCTGTTGTCATCTTCATCCTTTGTCTCCTGATTCCTTCGTCTACCATTCAAATATCAAGCCAGGGTGAGGGCGACACAAGGAGCTTGTGGCACCGTCGACTCTGGGAATGGCATGCGGGTTGGCTAGGCCTTGGCTTCAGTCTGGCAGGAGCGTTTCTGGTCACTTCTGGTCTGAAGGACGTAGTGGGAAAACCTCGTCCTGACTTTCTTGCTCGATGCGATCCTGACCTCTCCAACATCGCCGCCTACGTGGTTAGCGGTCTTGGGTTAAATAAGACATCGGCGCCCATCCTGGTCAACACTGGCATTTGCCGGAACATGGATATCAGTGTTGTGAAAGATGGGTTTGCCGCCTTTCCCTCTGGACACTCATCATTTTCTTGGGCAGGATTGCTTTACTTGTCTCTCTGGCTTAGCGCAAAGTTCGCGCTCACGTTTCCTGGTCCGTTTCGCCTCTCTCCCTCGAGAAGACAGGGGGATGGCAACGTCAACATGGTTTCACCATTCCGGTCCTTGGCAGCAGCTCCACCACTTTACCTCCTTTTACTTGTTCTCGCCCCAGTAGCTGTGGCTCTCTTCATCTGTGCCACTCGTTATGCTGACTATATGCATGCTGGTTGGGACATAATCGGTGGTAGTCTTATCGGCATTGCTTTCGCCTGGGCTGGGTTCCGATGGTACCACGTTTCGCCTCGTGGTGCAGAATCCTGCGGCTACGCTGGATGGGCTTGGGCACCGCGGCCAACATGGGGAGCCTTTGGGGTGCCATTTGGGAGCCCGGGTTTTGGGAGAAACGAGGATTCCATGAGGGAGGTGCGGACAACCACAAGTGGCTATGAGGATCTGGAGCTTGGGCCAATACAATAGTTTGATTCCTATCCCTTACCATGGATTTAGCACATGCAAAACAACGTTACTTGAACCTGCCAGGGCGTGACTGATAGTTTGATTGTTGTATCGAAATTCTAGGTAGCCCTTTTCATTCAGTAATAAATGCGGGCTCTGACCTTTCTATCCATATCTTTATACTCTTACCTCGAAAGAAGAAGGACCATTAGAGCAAAGACCCACCACAACCTTGATATACCTATAGGCATTAAAAGACTAACAGACCAAAGGAATTGCGTTGTGAGTGGTCTAGTGCCAGAAGACAAAGAATCGGCCATTGGGGACATCGAAGCCCTCGTCAGAAGAGCCTGCGTTATCTCTTAAAAATAAAGGGCATCGCCTTGCCGAGCCAAGTAAAGAAGTTTGAGGAGATCGTTGGTTTGGCGGAATTAGCTATACTTGATAATTAATTTTCGTGAAGGTCTTCATAAAGAGAATGTAGATCCTTATAGGACAGTCAACAGTAGCCAATAATAGCGCTGTGTCACTCAACTGACAAGTGCTCGTCTCGACAATGGACAAAATTTGCGGCACTCGTGGCTATAAAGAACAGGACTACGTGAATTCCCTCGGGTCTTGTTCCGGGCGGGGGAAGTCTCAGGGCTCCGATGTCCAAGTATGTGAAATCATAAGTAATTCCTTATGTCGGAATATGTGGAAGGCACACAGGCTAGTAATTGGCCAGAGGGTCTGAAACAGTGTGTTGATTGATTGAGATGTGTTGAGAGGACCGCTGTTGAAGGGTCTTTTTCTAGTGGTGCACTAGGGTTATACACTGGAGCTCCTCTGCCTCGGTGAGACCCGATTTACAATGCAAAACAAACGGAGCGGCGGGTATCGTCTGAACTGCATAACTCCTACAGTAATAAATTACCGCCGCTCAGGTTCGACACCTTATTCGACCGGAAAGCCAAGAACTGTCACCACACTTATAGATATAAGCACCTTTAGCTTCCCCTAGAGTATGCTCTGGGTTCTATTGAAGTGCTTAATTATCGCAAGTCTTCGATATTCCCCAGGGTTTCAAAGGTTCCTAAGATGGCGAGTGCTGTCCGCAGTCCGGATTATGTCTGCCTTGACCCTCTTGACTAGCCGCATACAGAGGCGTTCAGCCACGGGTCTCTATACCGAATTAGGCTACACCTGAAACGCGCCTGTCGGGGCCAAAGTTCACTAGGTCGGGGTTGCCGAAAGCTTGACCTCGGGAACCAACCGATCTCTACTTTCACCTGTCCGGCCCGACCAGCTACTCCTGGATTGCGGTCGGAACAGGCAGCCAGATGCCGGATTCGCTTATGATCGTGATCTACTCCAATGCTGATGGATCAAGTGAGTCCTCAAAGACTCCCTTTTACCCAGGTGACTCGTCCTCACGTATAATAACGCAGATGTCACTGTGAGTCCTCGTCTTTCCTCGGGCAAACAGGAGCCGGTGTATTCATCAACTATTGCCCTTGATATTCTAGACGGAACGGGTATCTCCAAAAATGTGATGACCGTCAACGCACGATGCTCCAACTGCACTAGTTGATCAGGCGAGGGGTCAGCCGGATTTTTGGATCTCCAGTCGACTTCTCAGCCGTGGATTTTTGGGCTCGGTCCGACTGGTGGCCAGGCTGCAATGCTGCGGAGCAACTCCAGGTCAGCCGGTATGGAACGACACTCGGAATAAGGTTCGTCCTACACCCTGTTACAAAACTCACTTGTGTCCATGCGCTCATGCATTTTAGGAACGTTCATTGTGGACATGACTCACGCAACGGGTGGCTCCGGCAGACTACCCAGTACCTACTCGACCTCCGTCGGCGCATCGTTGAGCAATGACGAAGTTACGAATGACAGCAACTAGCCGAGCATCATCCATGCCTTGTGCGCATGCGTGGCGCTTATCCTCCTCATGCCGACCGGCGTCCTCTTCCTCCGCATCGCCCCGAAAAGTGTCCGCTGGCACTGGATTAACCAAAATCTGGCTGCGGTCATTGGTCTTGTCGGCATTATGATTGGTTTCTACTCTCAGCACCATGTACGACAAATCACAGAAGTACGGCTCTGCACACCAGATCATCGGAGTCATCATCTTGATCACAATTCTCGCTCAATGGGGCATGGGACTGTGGCATCATCTTTTGTACAAGACACAAGTCGCCGACCAAGTTCGGTCCCATCCATCGCTACTTCGGATACGTCGTCTTCATCCTGGCCATCATTAATGGCGGCATCGTTCTTTCCTGGTCATACGCGTCCAAGTCGGTCATCATCGGATATTCGATCGGTGTGCTTGTTGTGGGCTTGGGTCTACTGTTTTTCTTTAGCTGGTTGAGATATACTTCTTGGCGCAACCAAAAGCAGCACAGTGGCAGTCCTTGAGGGATGGAGAGATTCAAAGGCAGCGAGTCTGACAGCAGTCAGTGGGCCCAGAACACAGATAGAGGCCCCACACACGACCGAAACTATACCAGTTACGGCCGGCTTTAGACAACTTGTGATGAGAAACGTGAAGAAGGTGAGTGGGTGCCTGAGGTGTCAGCGCCCACCGCCGTTGTAGATAGACCTTCCCTTCCGGGAAACTAGGAATACCATCATCATCTCTCTCCGCTTCTTCTTCGGCTCTTCCTAGTGATCACCGATCCCAGGTCCTTGGCATGCGGGTCTCTGGCTCCCCCTGAGCCACGACCGCCATCAAAACGGCATATTTGGTCTTTCATAGACGATATCTCGGGTATATATCCGAGTATGTCAGTGCCATTGCACACCTTTCGGGGAGTTTTAAGCAAGGCGTTGAATTCCCGAAATGAGCGCAGCGCGCGCCGCGTCTGGGCGGCCCGACCTCTGGCACTAGCGCGCATCATGACTCAATCTTGCCTCGCCTAACTTATTGATCGCAGAGACTTATAACACGTGTACGATGGTTGTATTCTCTAGATGTTCTGTAGGTCATGGCCTAGTATTATAGATACATACAGGTATAACTGTCGACCTCAGGAGTGGTTAGAAGTCATACAGTTCAGCGAATAGCCGCCGTTCCACTTGTTTTGCATTGTAAATCGGGTCTCAATGAGACAGAGGAGCTCCAGTGTAATAACCCTAGTGCTCCACTAGAAAAATATCCTTCAACAGGGGTCCTCTCGACACATCATCAATCAACACACATCCTAGATATACGGCTAAACTATTGGTCATCGAATTAATAGCAGATTGATCAGTGTAATCCTAGCCAGCATAACAGCCTTCAGTTTAGCCAAATAGAGGCTGATCGCCGAACGAAAGAGCTTGACTGATAAGACGGCCCCAGACAACCATCAAGTCCCTACACTCTTCCATCCGGTGGCTCTGCGCAAGTCAGGTAGCAGGCCGGGGAGAATGATTCTCCGTAAGGACGTGAGTGGCCGCATTCTGAATCTCACTGGTTGATGACCCGACTGCATAACATGGATGATGTGTTGGACATCAGCATCACCAGAAGTCCGCGTTGTCTTGCGAAATTCGTCCAAAAATTCCTGGTAGTACCTGGGATGTTCTTCCATCTTGAGTAAAATCCTCGTTGTTCAAGGCCCAGGTGCCGCAGCCCGCTGAGTGCGACGTTCACTTTGGTCGTGCGTTCGATGGCCTGCTGGACGTGCTCCTTCCACTGTAGCTCCTGGTCGAAGATTACGCCCAGCAGCTTGGCCGTGGATCACGGATTAATAGTCTTCTCGTTCATGACCACGTGGCCCTTGCCCGACTCGCTCTTTTCCTGTGAGGTGATAAGCTCGGTTTTCGCGGCTGCGAACCAGGATCCGGTTCGTCGGGCCCGTACTCCAATACGGAGGATGTCCTCGGACTGGACTTTCCTAGGTTCTCCCGGGCTCAGCGGCCCACTCGATAGCGAAAATAGTCGTCGATAAGGCCGACACACCGTCGTGGAAGGGGACCCATTGGTCGAGCAGTGTGAGTTAAGAATGCGAACAAAAATAGGCGGGAGAGATAATCCCTGCGCCGGCCCGGCATTCGCCAGCGGTGCAACTTCGGTGTGGAAAGGGCAACCGAACATTTTGGTTCGCGTTGCAATGATCCCTTACATATGCAACCCGGACTCATTGGCGAACCGAGCCCTTGAAGCTGGACAGCACGGATTCTGTGGACGGGATGTGCGGGAACACTTACGTGTGCACGTAAGCTGATCTGCAGTGAAACGAGACAGGTTGACAGGGGCAGAAACACCATCCCTGCCTCATGCCTCATGCATCCTTTTGCCGGAAAAAGAGATTTTAGATGGTATCGTTCACTTTTTGAGGAGGGATTCCGAAGGAAGATTGAGAATTCCTTCTTTTACCTCTCTCATCACTTCTACCAGCAGCCCGGCAGATATTAACTAAACATGTTACGACCTAGCTCTACGGGGCCATTGCCAGAGTCATCCGCCTCTCAAGATTCGGAGCCGCCGTATCACATCTTATCCAAGAAGCAAAAATGGAATCTTGTCATCCTCGTTTCCCTGGCGGGCTCCTTTTCACCTCTGTCTTCGAACATCTACTTTCCAGCAATTGGCTCCATATCCTCTGATCTGGGAGTTGGTGCATCCATTGTTGCCCTGACCATCACTGTCTATATGGTTGCCCAGGGTATTGCTCCCTCGCTTTTCGGCGCATTGTCGGATACCAAGGGCCGCCGCCTCGCATTCACGATAAGCCTCGCCATATACACGGCTGCCAACCTAGCTCTTGCTTTCACCTCAAGCTACCCAATGCTGATGGCCCTGCGAGGCGTGCAGGCAGCAGGGTCTGCAGCGACTATCAGCATTAGTGCAGGTGTAATAGCTGATATTGCCTGCCCACAAGAACGTGGTAGCTTTATGGGGACGAACGCTGGTGTGCGGTAAGTAAATCAAATACCACTTGTGCTTTGGGAAATATCACAGCACTGATCCTCAAATAGCATGACAGGCCAGGCGATCGGACCAATCATTGGAGGCGTTCTAAATAGTGCATGGGGTTACAGAAGCATATTCTGGCTCCTGTTTACCTTGAGCATAATCGTCCTTGGTGCCCTCCTGATCTTCCTGCCGGAGACACAGCGCAGCATAGCGGGCAACGGTAGCGCCCCACTCTCAGGGTTTTACAAACCCTTTATCTATACACTCAAAGTCCCAATGGTTGGGACCGAAAGCCATGAAACGAGTCATTCAATGAACCATCGTACACCAATATCCTTAAAAAAAGCATGCAGTCCCTTAACCTACATCTTTGAAAAGGACATCGCAGCTCTCCTAGCCTGGGGCGCAGTGGCATACACAGCATGGAGCATGGTGACCTCCTCCACCACAACGATGCTGCTGCACGGCTTCCCCTTCCTAACCCAGTGGCAAATTGGCCTATGTTTCCTCCCAAATGGCCTTGGCTGCATCTGTGGCTCGCTCAGCACAGGCTGGCTCCTGGACAAAAGCTTCAGGATTGTCGAGGCCCAATACAAGGCAGAACGAGACATTTCACCCGAAGACAATATTGACTCACGCGATTTTCCCTATGTGAAAGCTCGTTTACGCATAATGCCCTTCTTTAGCATTGTTCTTGTGATTTCCCTAGCGCTGTACGGGCCAAGCTTCGAGTTCAACGACTTGCGGCATTATTTCGGTCCCAATCTAGCCGCCCCGCTCATCCTACAGTTCCTGATTTCATTCACGGCGACTGCCATCTTCAATATCAACTCGACAGTGCTGATCGACTGCTTCCCCGACCGACCTGCCAGCGCGACGGCGCTCAACAACCTGTGCCGCTGTATACTAGGCGCGGCTGGCGTCAGTGTCATCCAGCCATTGATTGGTGCCGTAAAGGAGATGGTAGCTTTCTTTATAGTGACGAGTGTAGTGTTCCTGTTCACGCCACTCATATGGGTTGAATGGAAGTTCGGGGAGAGGTGGAGGCGAGAGCGAGAGAAGAGGCTTACCCGGTGGATTTGGCAAAGTTGAATTGTGTTTCAACATATGCGGCTAAAAGGCGTTAGAACTAGATGTTCCTTGAGCTCGTTTTAGATGGAGATTAATCCGACGGCGCCACATCTGTTTGAAAATCATCGAATCCAATGTTGCCATCACTGCAACTGTACATACGCCTAGTCTGCGTCTGATACTACCGTTAGTCGGCGTGGTAATATGCAGGATTTGATATAGGCAATTAGTGTCGCAGCTCTCGTGTGAACATGCACCTGCCGATCTGGCCTTAGCTCGACGTATATTACGCAGGTCGCAGCCACATTACACCCTCCGGGCCGAGCCAATATGATATCACTTCTTCGTCATGCTATTCGGAAAAAATTCGTCCAACCTCCAATCGTGGTTGCTTCGAGGAATTTTTCGATCTTTCGCACGTGCCCACGGTTTTGGCCGTTTTGTTGTATTACTCGAATGTGCAAATTGGCCGCATTCAGTCCGAATTGGAACAGAGGGTGGAAGGGCGTCCAGTCTAGTAATTGGTCAGAGGTTCCAAAAGAGTGTTGACTGAGGATTACCTGTTGTGATGACCGCTGTTGAAGGGCTTTTTTCTAGTGGAGCACTAGTGTTGTTACACTGGAGCTCCTCTGTCACGCTGAGACCCGATTTACTATGCAAAATAAGTGTAGCGGCGGGTATCCGCTGAACTGTATGAGTCCTAATGGTAAATTACCACCCCCCAAGTCGACATTATCCAGAAAAAAATATAGGATATCCCTTAAGAATACGATCTTCAAACTTATCAATCCCATAATTTCCAAATCTAGCGTCTATCCAAAAAAAAAAAAAAAAAAAAAAAAAAAAAAAAAGATGGGATATCCCCAAAGAATCCAATGTCCAAACTCATCGATTCCATAATCTCCAAAATCTACAAGATATCGACACGCACACGCACATGTGAACGGAGGTCTTCTTATCACAGCCAGCAGACGCTAAGGGGCCACTTAATAGATCAGCTCGTACAGATTGCCGTTGGTGGCGTTGGTGTCGTTACGGCCGAGAGAGCCGAGACCGAAGTTCTGGATGGCACCACGGAGAAGACCATAGGTGGTGATATAGGTGTTATCCTCGGTGTTGGGGGTGACACCTGCACCGAAAAGCATAGTCACGATGTGGTTGTCGTTGTTGGGGCTGGAGTCATCATCAGTCTGCCAGGTGGCCTCGTCAAAAGTAGCAACCACCAGAGTTCCTTGGGCCTCCAGCTCGGGCAGGTAGAGGTCGAGCCACGAGTTGAACCAGATGGCACCAGTGGTGGGCTGGTCGATGTAGACGCTGTTAGGCTCGGGATCGTGGGAGTTGTGGAGCATGTCAGGGACGTAGAACGAGTACTCAGGCAAGGTGTGGACCTTAACGTGCTCGGCAAAGGTGACGTTAGCATCGTAGAGCTTGGCGCAACGCTCGTAGTTAGTGGTGTAACTGCTGAAGAGCAGAGCGGGGACATCCAGACGGCGGTAGATTTGGGAGGACCAATCGGGGTTTGTGTTGTCGTAGGGGCCGTTGGTAATGTAATTGTTGCAGTCGTTGGGGCCACGGTGGGTCTCAATAGGGTTATACCACTCGTTATAGGAGGCGTAGGACAATTTCTTGGCGTCAAGCAGGTCGTAGACGGTGGTGGTGTTGATGTTGTAGAAGTCTTCATTGGCCAAGCCGAAGAAGTCACCAGCCACAATAGCAGCGTAGTTGGGCAACGAGGGGTGTGTAATGGCATGGAAGTTGGTCAGAGATTTGCCCTTGGTGGCGAGCATTTGCCAATAAGGGGAGGCCATGGTCCAGTTGTAGACCTCGTTCTCGAAGATAACGTGAAGGATCTTCTTGACCTTGCCCTCGCCGTCCTTGCGCATGCCTCCGTCGGCGCAGAAGTCACGGGCGTGGACACGGGAATCATCGCGGTTACCGAAGATGCTGGTCTCGTTGATGGCCTTGGGGTTACCCTCGTTGATGATGAAGTAAGGGTGGGTGGTGAGAGAACCTTCGGGGAAGTAATTGTAGCCGGGCTTCATATGAGGACCGGTGAAGTTGGAGCCGGCGACGGTGTTGTTGTTGACGGCCCAGGTGTAGTAACCTCCATACTGCTCAGGCTCGAACGGAACCTTGTAAGTGAATGTAAAGTTCTTCAGCGAAGGGTCGTTGGCCTTGAGCACGTTACCACCCTGAAAAGGGACCTTGTCATCGGGGATGATGTACTGGGCGGAGGCCAGGTACGGAAGGGCCAAAAGGGCAACCTTAGTAAAGGAGAACATTTTGCTGGTGCTGGATGGCAACGTTCAAGTGATCTTAGAAAATTCATGATGGCCTGCCAGCCCATCTTTATACTTTTCAAACTTGTTGCAACCGCTTGAAGTGTGCTCGACACATGTGTCCGATCTCGATGGCGGATTGGCTTCTATCCGCACCTGCCCGGACGGCGTAACGGGATTGGATTTCCTCGGTACGGAGCAGATGCTAAGCTCAGCCGGTATATTTACGTTGTCGATCTTTCGGGGAAAAGCTTGCATCCAGTGATTGAGCCGAGCATTAGAGCAAAAATGGATATAATTTAGCGATCCGTCAAGGAAATGATAAATGTTCTATAAACGGAGAGCCAAGCTTTGGTTAAGCTTCAGTTAATTTCGGTGGAAAAGAGGGTCCGGGAGGCGCGACTAACTTTCGGCTACTGTAGGCTAATGTGAAGCACCCGCACTGGGTGCTAATCTGGCACAAGCGTGCGCCCACCACGCGCTGCAATTGCAGCGCATGGCAAATAAGCAATTTCCGAACAGATCTAGAATAATTGCGGGCCAATAGGATCGTTGCAACTAGTTATGGTGGAGTTATTCGGCGCTAGCCGTTACCTTTACGTGTCGGGCCCAAGACAGCAGAAATCTTCCTTCGCGATATGACGCCTATACTCGAGAAGCAGTGGGGATACACCATATAGCAGACTCCAAAATGCAACCTTTTATGTGAGATGGACCTTGGATCTGGTCTTTGCTATTACTCTAAGATCCGCCGCCCAGCCGCGCCTTGTACGCGTCCGCAGCGCTCTTGTCCACCAGTCTCAGCGCATTGATGAGCTCCTGGATCGGCCCGCGTAACTGCTCAATGTCCTCGTTACAGAGGCACAAGGGGGAGAGGTTATGCTCGAAGTAAATCCGGTCGGCGATGCTGATCGGCGCCGCGAGCGCTGTCAGCCGCTCTGCGAAGGTGCCACGCTCCTGGGCTTCGCTCCGGCTGCTCGCGACGGACTCGGTGAGCAGCGCGAAGGTGTTGTCCAGGCTGTGCAGCCGATCGATCGACATAACCCGCCAGGGTTGCGCATCGGGATCTTCCGCCACCGTGCAGACAGCCTCGTAAACCGGTTGGCGAGGTCCAGCGAGCCAGTGCGGACAGCGCGAGGAATCGGTCGTACGCCCCGGCCGACTTATCGCCTAGAAGCGCCGCCGCGTCGGGCTCCGGCCGCTTCCAGTCCCCTTCTAGCGCTGCGGCAATTGCCGAGTCTGGGTCGGTCTCCTGGCCGTCCGCATCCGTGAAGAATAGCTGGTGGGCAAGGCTGAACTGATAGATGCCGTTTCCAGACGTGTCGTCCATTAACAATCCCTATGTGATGGGCCAGGTCTTATCTTGATGGAAAAGAGTGTATTCAGCGGAAAACAACTAAACTGGAGAGAGGAAGGAAAGGAAGGAAGGAAAGAACGAAAGAAATTAAAACTGCTATGGACGTCGAGGTTCACGAGTCACGTGACGGTACATGACCTAATTGTCTAGACCGCTACCAATTCAGTGTTACACGCCAGGAGGAGATCGTGAGGAATCTTGTGCATTCAACGACGGTATTGTAACAATACGGGTTGGGAATTTAAATGACATTTGAAAATATACTTCCTCTCTCCCTGGAAGATGGTGTAATTTACACCATCTTCAACGCCCACTGCCAGACAAATATGAACGGCACAGAATGGCCGCAAATCCGCCCCCTGCTACTTGAGAGTCGATTCACGATATGAAGTTGTAAAAGTCATCTTTGCGTCCAGGGTAAAAACCTATGTTCTTCCCCACCCCCAATCCTGGTGACCGAGAGCGACGATCAGGCACGTTTATGCGGTGCTGGGGACTGGTATTCAAGTTTCATCTTCGAAGCATGAGAGCTAAGACCTGCCTGAACATCTTTTCTTCTAGACCAATGTACAATTCTTTTTCATCTCTTGGACCACTAAATTAATTGACGCCGATAATGCCTCGAAGACTTGAGGAACTCAGATACGAGCATTCACCCACGTTGGTGCGGGTGTATTCCTTTTCCGAGTAGACTTCACATCTTGCTTCAGTCCTGGTTTAGTCTAATCGGACTCAACTTTCTTGTTTCAAACTTTCGTGTGCCATCGCCGACGTAAAATTCATGATGTCTCTTCACTTCCTTCGATTCGACTGCCGTCGGCTATTCGATCGTCAATCGATTTGAAGAATCCGCAATTCCTCATTTCTTTGAAACAATAGCTCGTTTTGATTTTTGCCCGAAGGCACAGCCTGTCGGAATACGTCGGCGTCGTGTAGATCCCATCCCAAGCACGATTCCTCGGGTTGCCTTTTAGCCCAGTTTATGGTGCACGTGCAGGAAGGACATATCCTAGGGTAGCAGACATCAACCATTGTGATATGTATTAATATGCCGAGCTCATAGTGGATGGTAGTACTCTTGTTCTAGGACACGAATCGGCCCGGGTTACATTCATGTCTTTCACGGTGAAATAGTCTTCTATAGAAATTCTCTACCGTTCCTTGCATATTTTTTTTCTAATCTCTATGTAAAAGACAGGCCAGGGGGAACTAGACAGGTAACAGGTCTATAGTACATGCCAATTCGGAAAAGATTCTCGAAGAAATATACTGTCCATTAGTTATCTTCTATGAATTCTATACGTGATACTATGAGAGGGCTGTCCACTTTTTGTGACAGGCCAGCCACCTGGGCCAAGGACCGGGAATCGGTGGAGACCGTACGAGAAAACCTGCACGGATGCATTTACCTTTCCCGTGTGGAGCCAACAATGGCCACGTGCGATAGTTCAACGGCCATTATGGAATCCCAAAAACGTTCTCTGCATTTCGCCGTCGATGTATGTAACCCTCCAAGCCGAGGGCCAAGGGCCCAGACTGATATAGGTGGAGATGGCCGGGTGCCGATCAACCTCGGTGATTTCTGGGCCGATACAGCGGGACCCCGGGTTAACATGCTGTGAAGAAGAGGGGTTGCACTCGGCTACCCGACTTGGGGTCCTGCTCTCCTCCCGGCGCTACGGGGCGGGATAGCGAAGAATCCTGGACGCCGGAGTAGGGGACAGGGTTCAGGTCGGTGAAGGCCTGGATTCGGCTCAAATTCAGATACGGAGGATTAACGGATTTGAGAGCCAAGGAAGGATCAAGATCCAGCCTGGGCAGCCCTACAAGGTCGAGCCAAAGAGTCCTCCGAGATGGTGAAAGAACAAGTCACCCGGCCGGGCTTCGGTCCGGTCACTTCTTGGCTTCTCTGTCGTGATTGGGGGCGCTTGGGTACATAGTCCCTGTGGCCGTGAGTGCAGACCATAGTTCGGAGACACTACTGGAGGAAGGTGCAGGAGCGGACGCTAAGGTCGAGAGCCCAAGGACCCTCGGCCCTCGACCCTCGGGGGCAGAGTAGGCAGCAGCAGAAGGGGGATTTACGGGACAGGTGGGTCATGATCGACGGTCCAGAATTGGCACCATTGCGCACGTTTTCGAGACTTTCAATTTGTCGATCGATGCCGCCTAGCGCGAAACCTTAACCCGAGCTGATTTAACTCGCATTCTTGCATTCTTCTTCCCTTCCAACTCCACCGTATGACGTGTGAACTCGATGAAATGCAGATGCATCAGCCACATTAGTAGCGGATTGATCTTCGCACGCTTATGGAGGCCCCAGAATGCATTCTCATTGGACTACCATCCCCCTGTCTCCCTTTCCTGACCCCCGATTGCGTTCTGGATCTCTGTGCCCGAGCAAGGGCAGCTCCCCCCTATACAAAACAAGCCGCCCGAAACACTCCCTACTCCCTATTCAAGGGACTGTCCACATAATAGGCTGGCGAATCGAGCAGACCGTTTCCCCTGAAACGTGAATTACCTAGGCACAGCTGCTTTTCGACGATGAAGCTTGGCATTTGCTTGACGGCTCGGAACGACCTAAATTTCAGAAGGGTGCGAAAGCCTGTCATCGGTGGCTACTTGACCATGTGCGACCGCATCTCATGCCAAGCCTTACCAAGCCTTGCCTTTTCGTCTGTCATTGGCTTTCCATGTCTCCCGACGCTGTTATCATGCAGGTTCTTGTCTGCCGAGTTTCAGCTCTCTCTCGGCACAAAAAGAGAAGGTGGCCAACGCGATGACATCCAACCGAAGAATTTCTCTTTCGTAAGTCCTTCTGAAACTTGATAGCGTAGTACACATGCTACGTAGATCATACATCATTTCGTTCGCCATATGTACGTCGGAACGCGTGTGCCTGCCCTCCGAGGAATTTCACAGTTTCGATACAGGTTAATGGCATTTGTGGCATTCGAACTGCGCTTATCAAGGTCTGGGGATACCCCTACGCCACAACCCTGTCTGCCTGGCTCGAGACCAATAATAATGTGATATCGTCTTGTGCACGCCAGGGAGGCCAGCAATTGAGGTTAGGAGCTATACGTAAGCTATCACCGAATGGCCGGAGATAAATAATTCATTTGGAAGGGATTTAGCTTAAAATTTCTTTCCTGCAGATCAGGATCCATCTATCACTGAGTGAGCGGCACACGCCTTTCCGTCTTTGTCCGATCCTTGCCACAGTCTACTACCCAGGGGATGGGGCGGAGTGGCCGCCTTGGTCGAGTCCACAGTGGAGCACATGGCCTTGATTCTCGATGCATGAGCCCGTTTGATATTTGGGATCGGTGCTATCAGGGGCCTGACATCGAAATACAAATGGGCTCTGTCCATCCCAATTGTCCACGGTATCAGAATTCAAGCGTTTTGCCCGGGCTGATTGAAGCTTCCTCTTCTTGTCTATATCTTTATGATTGCCTTATTATGCAACACTAGGCCAATCTTTCAACTATTTTGTTTTTCATCATGTCTCAATTAAATTCTCCAGAGTTTCTTAAGGGCCCTGCCGTCGCGGAAAGATCTTGCGATTCCAGTCCTAGCCTTTCAACAACAGATGAAAAGGACCTTCCAACACAGTCTTCCGCCTCTATTAATCTCGAGAGCCAAATGCGGCCACCACCACCCTATCATGTCTTTACTCGAACCCGCAAATTGCAGATGGTCTGCATTGTCTCGCTTGCAGCCATCTTTTCTCCGCTATCCTCCAACATCTACTTCCCCGCCCTGGGTGTTATCTCAAAGGTTCGTGCACTTTGAACATCAGCTCAACAATAACTTGAATTCAAACATCGGAACTAACAATCAAATAGGACCTGAACGTCTCAATGTCACTTACAACGTTGACCGTCACCATATACATGATTGCCCAAGGTCTTGCTCCTAGTATCTGGGGCGCATTCTCTGACACCATAGGCCGTCGTGGAATTTTCATCGGCACTTTTATCGTCTATATGGTTGCAAACATTGCACTGGCTGTGTCAACCAACTATGGCGAGCTTATGGCTTTCCGTGCCCTGCAAGCTGCCGGTAGCTCGGCAACTATCTCGATCGGTATGCACATCCCACCTGAAGTATGAAATCCTTTACTGATTGGAACAGGCGCTGGCGTTATTGGTGACATCACAACGTCAGCTGAGCGAGGAAGCTTGGTTGGAATTTTTGGCGGAGGTAAGTTTTTCTAAACTTATTGGTCTCAATCTATTATAGTAACGGAGTAAAAGTGCGTATGCTTGGCCAGGGCGTTGGCCCTGTGTTTGGTGGAATATTGTCTCAATACCTAGGCTTTAGGTCCATTTTCTGGTTCCTGACCATCGCCGCTGGAATCAGCCTTTTCTCTATTCTGTTCTTCCTTCCTGAAACCCTCCGTACCGTCGCCGGCAATGGCACTGTCCCTCTCTATGGTTTCTACAAGCCATGGATCTACTGTATCACAGGTCAAAAAGACGCCAAGGAGGGCTCCATCCCGACCGGTGAAAAGAAGACGGTGACCTGGAAGACTGTCCTAGCCCCTCTAGGCTTCCTGGCCGAGAAGGACGTCTTCATCACCTTGTTCTACGGTGCCATCGTGTACACAGTCTGGTCGATGGTGACATCCTCCACATCCTCCCTCTTCGAGTCCCAATACGGACTCAACTCACTGGAAGTCGGTCTGACCTTCCTGGGCAACGGCTTCGGCTGCATGTCCGGATCATACTCCGTCGGCTACCTGATGGACTACAACCACAAAGTCACAGAGCGCGAATACTGCTTGCGCAACAATCTCCCCCTCGAAACCCGCATCACCTCCAAAACCCACCCCGACTTCCCCATCGAATACGCCCGCATGCGCAACACTTGGTGGATCACAGCCATCTTTATCGTATGCACCGCCCTCTACGGGTTCTCCCTGCAAACCAACCTCGCCGTCCCAGTCATCCTCCAATACATTATTGCCTACTGCGCCACCGCCATCTTCACCATCAACAGCGCCCTAGTCATCGACCTCTACCCCGGCGCCAGCGCCAGCGCAACCGCCGTCAACAACCTAATGCGCTGCGAAGTCGGAGCCGCCGGAGTCGCAGCTGTACAGCCCATCATTGACACCATTACAGCCGAGTGGACCTTCATCCTCCTCGCCGGGATCACTCTCGTCATGGTGCCTCTTCTCATGGTAGAGATGCGCTGTGGTGCCGGATGGCGCATGGAGCGGACAGAGCGACTCAAGCGGAAGGAACAGTCTGCGTAAAGCAGAAGATCAAAACCTATCTGAAGCAACTTTTTACCTTCGACAGTATCCTCCTCTCCAACAGAAAGATAGGGGTATTCAAAAACCATTTTGGGGTATACACGGGACATGAGGCCCTTGACGACATAACGACTACATGAGATTAAAATCTACCCGCAAACCACGGTTCGGGTTCCTGGCAGACCGTGTCGACTGAACCGCTACCGACTATGTCCATTTATTTTTCTGTCTTCCAACTTGTGCTTGGCTACTAGTGGCTTACAGTCGGAGTCGAAAACAGATTCCCCTTCGTACACTCACAAATTGATTCTCGAACCCCATCCTGAAACACCCTAGTCTGTATTTGGCTTAGTCGTCGATCTCCCTTGTCTAAGAATAGAGACCGTTTTTTACATGACGGGAGGATGGCGTAAAATAATCAGGTGAATGTCAATTATTTTACAATGAAGTTGTTAAACATCGCATTTACGGGTTGATATGGTACCTCTAATCAATCGATATTAACGCAACCAAGAAAATCGCGACAGAATAAGATATTTCGTCCCAACAAATGTCTTTGATTCTGAGTGAAACTGATGTGTGAAGCCGGTGTGGATCTTATCTCCCTGTAGTTTCCTTGATAATGCGCTGAATCGATAGACCCAGCTGTGCAGATTCGTGATGTAGAGTCTGCGTGTGCACCGTTCATCTGCCTGCGTTGCCAACATCAATCCTCTTTCGGCCTGGGCGAGAATTACCAAGAAACTCATGAGCTATATAGTATCCACGAACTAAGAACCATCACTTTTGAACCTCACTCAGTAGGCATCGAAAGCAACACCACGATGACTCCGTAGACTAGGGCACTAATTACCGAGCTAGAGACATCGCCCGGAACATTTCGCGCGACGCGCAGGATACCTTAAGGGGAGATTTCTCGGCTGCACAGCCAATCTCGAAGTGTCCTACGATGCTACGTATTGGAACAGAGATATCTTCCGGCAAACCCGGCGTCGAAGCCAGAAAGCCAGCGATGCCATTCGTGTGGGGAACCAGGCTATCGGAATTGATGGTGAAGAGTGCAAGAGGGGAATCATCTTAAGGGAGAATCGCAAGAAAGCTGAGGAAAGGATACATGAGTGAACGTGTAAGTCTTTTAGACGAGGGCAAGGTAATGGGTAGAGTAGTAGAGTAGCGAGTAATGAGTAATGCGTACGGCCAAGTGACAGACCAGGAATCTGCGGTAAGGAGCAAACGCATCAAAGAATCAAATCACGTCGACGTTTTGGGGCAGCACTGGCCCTCCACGGGCGCAGTTGTCGTCGCATTCCAGGAGGCAGCCCTGGGGAGCGCCTTCCCTTACGCTGGCTGTGCGGCTAGGCATGTCAGGGACTTCAGTGGTTGATCGAGAGGATGAAGGCTGGGTCTGGTTCTGGTTATCTTCAGCGTCGCTATCAGGGGCGAATTCTGGCTGGATAGTGGAAGAATGGATGCCATAGGCGTGAAGACACCGGCGAATCTGTCGCGCGAGGCGCATGTATCTCTCAGACCCCTCACCCTTGATTTCGGTATCAACCTGGATATGGATCGAGGCGACAATCTTGGTGTCACTCAACTGCCAGACGTGCAGGTGGTGAGAGCCAATAACACCTGGAAGGCCCTCGATATCCTCCTTGATATGATCGATGCTTAGGCCAGCGGGGGCAGCTTGCAGCAGAATGCGAGAGGCGGCCTTGCACAGGGGAATAGCAGATACAAGAATGATGACTGTGATCGCAAGAGAGATGCCAGGATCCACATAGTTGCGCCAATCGTAGTCAGTCAACCAGATGATCAGGGCAGAAGCAATGACGCCGATGTTACCAAGCGCATCTCCCATAACGTGGAGGAAGACGCCACGCATGTTCAGGTCATGGCCATGGCCATGGCCGCCCTTCTGACTCTTAGGCTTGGGCTTAGCATGGTTGTGGCCCTTGTGGACATCATCCTCGACCAAGTGGTTGGGAACTTTGAACAGGCCACCATTCTCATCGGTGTAGTTAGAGGCACCATCGCGGTGGCTTAAAAGACCAGATCGCTCGTTTAGGCTTTCGTCGTCTTGGTCATCAGAATCCGAAGACTCTTCATTGTCGAACTGACCGTGACTAGCGGCAATGATATCCTGCCGCAGAGTCGCAGGGTGCACGTAGATGTCGTCCACGTTGGTGGGTCCACATCCAGCCGAAGTACTGTATCGCGGAGAGAAGCGGCTTTGAGTACCACGGCGATTGCGTGATGGAGAGGACGGCTCGATGTCCCGTATCCCAGTTCCATGAACATTCGGGGGCACAAGGGCTTCGCGCTCGTCCGCTGTGTGGTGGTGGTCACTGGATCCCCGCTCCGCTGCATCCACGTCCTCCTCGTGTCCGTGACCATGGTCATGGCTATGGCCATGGCCACCGTGGGAATGATCGTGGAATAATGCCAACCCCACAATGTTGGAAAGCAGTCCAAAACAGCCGACAACGCAGACAAATTTCGGGTTTTGGACCTCCTGGGGTTCCACCAATCTTTGAATCGCTTCTAAGAAAATCGACATACACAAGGCGACCAGGAACACGCCGTTGACTAGCGCACCGAGAGTTTCGGCGCGTTGCCACTATTTTCCAAGCACAAAATGTCAGATTCAGATCGAAGCGGAGTCCAAACTGGGGCGTGGCCAACTTACACCATAGGTGTACATCTTCGAGTTCGATTCGCGATTGGCGACCTTGACGGCCCATAGTCCAACGCAGAGGGAAATGACATCATTAAGCTGGTTGTCTGTGAGATTGGGATCGGTACAAGCGTTGCGCGCTCACACGCGCGATATGACACATACCATGTGAAAGGAGTCGGCCACAAGAGCAAGGGAGTGCACGGCATAGCCTTCAAGAAAGGCACGTTAGCAAGATCCAGCTGCGCTTCCAAAGCGACTAGTTATATACACACCTGTAATAAGTTCCAGTAGGAAGAACACAGTGTCGATAACCAGCAGGATGATGATCCTGTTGGTCTTAGAAAGCCCCATTGTGGCTGTTGTTCGCAGGCGGCGCGCTTAACGGCGCTCGACTCCGCAGCAAGAAGGGACAAAGAAGAATCCGCTGATGGAAAATTCGTCAAGCACGACAGAAAACGAGGACGAGATAAAGAGAAACAGATAAAGAGGCGCGAGGTTTAAAGAAGTTGCGACGCAACCGATAGCGGCCGCTCGGAGGGAAATTTGCGACGGAACGGGTCGCGTCTGTGGGGCGGATCGTGGTGGAGACAGGCGCATGCTAGATTCGGCCGTGCGGTGGGTCCGGCATGCCGGCGAAAATCGAAAGTATTTTAGCTTCGAACGACCAAACACACTTGTATCAAGGTTCGACCATGGAATTGATCGCTTTTGCGACAGGACTCGATCAAGACTGTTTGGGAATACATCCTTCCCGGACCGTATAGCTCCCAGATCGCTGAAGATGCTGAAGTCTTAACAGCTCAAGGACGGTCCTACAGAATCTACTCATGGCGTATGGTGGCGCACCAGTTTCTACACCTTGCTGGTTTGCCAAGACAGTGGTGTTGCCTAGAAATTAAAGCTAACAACAGGCACAGGTTCTTGTAAGAAATAGAAAACCGTGGCCCGCCACAGGGAAATGCTGGACTCCTGGAAGAACCCTAAGCGAGAGAACCGTGGAAAACCGCGGTCCCATGAGAGTGGCGCTGGCGGATGGAGCATTTAAGAGAGACTAAGAAAACTGTGGTCTGTCGTGCGAAAAACGACGACAGCCTGAAGCATTTGGAAGAGGTCTGCTATCATACATGTGTATCTATGATAAATTTGGACATTGAAGGCGATGTTAAGGAAGATCTCATACGAACCCTCCTGGGGTCAGATATGATGGCCGAGAGGATGGAATGTACAGAATGGCGAGGGCGGGGGCTCGGTGTAGTGGCGAAGAGTATGCTCTGCTCTTGTTGAAAGACAAGGTTCCGGGGTTGGAGGATATGCAAGCGGGAAAGAAAGATTCGAAAGGTCCCCTGTGTTTCGAAACAAGATCCAAAATTGGAGGGCAATGATGGAATTCCGCCACTGAAAGAGCAATATACCTACGAGCGACAAATTCAGACTGCAACAAAATTGAACTTATTCCTGGGCCTGGCTGTCTGCACAAGCCGGGATAGGTGGGTCCCCGTTTACACGTGGTGGTTGTCCGGATTGTGCAGTGATGTGAAAGACAAAAGCAAAATAGCAATTTGTACTAATAGCAAATGATTAAATACATGAACGAGTGTCTATACATATGTTATGTCCCACTGGGGTGAAGGTGGCGGATGATGGGTAACGAACTGGTAAACGCTATACCAATTTACTAGTCTTCCTTTGATCGTTTGTATGCCGTCTGGTAATTTCGTGGATTTTGTCACCAGCGTCGAGGTAATGACGAAAAGTCTATGCCCACTTCCCGACAAGTGCCATGATACCAGCGCCGAGAATTGTGCATATAGTCATAAATGCCAAACGGGTCCTGTTGTTCGTGCGGCAAGGATCGAACAAAAAGTCCCGAGCTAGCAGTTCAACAAGCCCGGTGTACATCAGGATACCGGCGGAGATCGAGTCGAGGACGCCAGACACTATGTTCGCTGTGATCGAATTGGGATTGTATGTTGTTCGCAGGCCGAGTCCAATTGCGATGGAAATGGGCGTGGTTAAACCGTACATCATGCATAGGATCCAAGGAAGCCAGCTGTTTCGCTTGAAAGGAATACCGGACATTCTGGCACCAATACCCAATCCTTCGAAGCTCTGGTGGAACACAAGGACGGGGTACAAAGTTTTGAACTCGTCGCCGACAACTCCAAGATTCAAGCCGATGATCACCGAATGGAAAATGACACCGAATTCAAGAATGAGGAGGGCAGCTATCTGTTGCTGGAACGATCTCTCCGCTGCCGCAGAGTCTTTAAAGTCTTGACTGTCCCATGCCGAGTCCTTCTTCGTCTCGATGGTCGTAGTTGGAACTTCCTCGGAGGGTTGATGTTCGTGCGTCTCTTGAACAATACTAGCTCTTGGGTCTTCTTCCAAGGGTCCATACTTGGACTCAACATATAACTGTGCGCCAAAGTCCATGAGGAACACAAAGACGATCGACGTCAGTGTGATGGCAGGGGGCCAAGAGTACTGCGCCCAGTTGCCCGTCATTCCAACACAACTGGCAGGACCAATCTCTTCGTAGGCAGGATCCAACAAATGAACAAATGCTGTGGCAATGATCACACCAGTGCCGAAGTAACGAGCGAACAGATAGACATAGAGGGGAATCTTCAGCCGCGGGACTCGTTTCGCGGCCACAGGGAAGAACGTAACCGCTGTCGAGATGACAAAGATAACAAAGATGGAAGAAATGCGAGCACCAAGCATGCCATCGTACTCATTTCCCCCGAGCTGATTCCAGCAGACCACTTGGGCGAAGTCCACTGAAGTCAAATTCACGTTATTAGGATCAAATGAGGAAGACATTATTGCTTGAATAAACAGGTGGATGGCGAAGATTTTGTAGGATAGAATTAAATTATACCGGCCCCCGTGAGTACCTTGAGGGCAGCGACTTACCTATTCTGTCGGGCTGAGCCGTGCAAAGAAATTTTCCATGAAAAAACCTAATCATGTCCCCCCTATTGGCCGCACCATCACCACTTCGGGTATTAGTACTCCGTAAACTTTTTTCAATCCAATGTCACGAGTATACATGAGGCTCGCACGATGAGCCACGAGCAGCGGAGGACAAACGGTGAAACGGACCCACATATCTTGTCTGGGTTCCCCTGAACGCGAGGAAGCGCCTTTCATTTGCTTCCTCGCGATACACCCTGAATCTATAGTCAATCATAGCTGTTCTTGGTATTGATCATTCACCTTTATGTATACGTGAGACCCTCACACTCGAAGCCAAAATATCAATGCCATTATTTTTCAACTATTTCCGCAATCGAGACAGCTTCATAATGAGACATTCGCGACCTCTGATTCGGCATCATTGGGTGCATTCGGTACTAGTGTATACAGGAGTCTCACCTCCAACAGACCTTCCTGATTGGTGCGGAAATTAAAATACAGTGGCACCGCTAAAGTCTGAGACCCCCCCAAAGTATTGCGCTAATATTCTGCCGGCAATTAGCGTCCGCACCACTCAAAAACTACCATTAGTGGGCGGTATGTCCCTTGTAAGGAGGCGGTAAAGAAAGGTACTTTAGGGGGTCTCAGACTTTAGCGGTGCCACTGTACAGTAGAATTGTGGGTAGGTGGGATGTTTTCTTTTCGAAACACGCACCGAGGAATAGTGGATCAGATGAAAAGGCTTGTCTCTACGGCTCAGCCCGAAATCGGTCTGGGTCCTTTTGCTTTGCAAGCCGATCCAATTGATTGGTGCAAATGAAATAGAACCTAGATCCATCTGTGAGCCGGAGGCGAATAACCGCGCAGTTGACAGATGGCATTGGATTTTGGCCACATCAAATGAAGTGAAGGCCACACCTCTCTATTGCAATAAGAACACGATAATTTAGCGCCAACATAGCTAAGATACAAAACTGAAGAACTCCCGCCCATGAAGAGGAGGTATGGCCCTGTTATTTGTATCTTGGGTTTTGTAGGAGTAAATCGGGGACAGTCATATCGAGGCTTGGGCCTGGGTAAGATTGCCCCATTGCATTTGCAATCTAGTCGTTCTGTGGCTACTATTTAGTGGGTCTTAAGTGGATTCCAAGCAAGTGCATTGGACAACCGGAACCATCTCGGGACAAGAAATTTTTATCTCGGGTGATCTTCGGGAGCGATCGATAATTCATTTACCGGATGTAGCTTGAGTTAGATACAGCCCTATGCGGGAGTGCTGCCAGGCCTGCCTGACGGCCGAGGGAATGACTCCCAGGGCCCACAATCAGGCGAGCCGCATATGCCGATTGTTATTCTTTTGGGAACAAAAGCCTGCCTGATGTTAGAGATGCGTCACAATACCCTTGGGTTGATTGTTTTACCGGTCTGAGCAACAGAGACCCGCGGGTGAATTTTGGGTGCGACTAAGTATATTTCCAGGACTGATAGCTGGCCCCTGAAACCTAGGTGCCGCGAGTATTTACATACAGGCCCCTGGCCCCCTTGTCCATGCGTTCTTACATGCGATCAGTGCGCAGCTGAGAGGCTGCAACAAGCCTCGAAGATCAGGCATTCAATCGCGATATACATGACATTACATGTGTCCTCACAATCTTGGTTGGTATTTATAAGGTCTAGATTTAAAATTCAAAAATCATACGCAACTCATTTATTGGCTGTATCGCTCCTCTTCGAAACAATGTATTTCGAATGTCAGCTAAATAATGCTTCATTCGCTCGGCTGATTGTTTTTTTTTTTTTTTGGCAGCAGACTCCTTTTCTCAAGGTTTGCTTTACCTTATGGGTGGACTTCATCAGGGCCCATGAATGGCCCAAAGTTTTGGACCCATGATCCATTAAATGCACATGTTTCTAAGGATATTTTATAAAAAGGAATTGTTTAGGGATTTATACATGCTATGGAAAATAAGCGCCTTTTCCGTCCTACGTATGGACTTCAGCGACTTTCTTCAGAAGTGATCTTACAATGTCCTCATGGCCTCCTGATAAACTCGCCTGAAGTGCATTTCAATATTCGCCTCCCTGCACATTGACGTTGGCGCCCTTCGCTAACAGTAGCTGAACAATCTCTTTATGGCCTCGAGCTGAGCAGCTTGAAGCGGATTGTCAAATTGACCACTCTGGTTGTCATCGTGACCAACAGCAGATTGATACTCCCCTCGTGGCCTGCAAGGGTATCTTACAATATTTTCTGCTGAATCAAAATGGTTGGTATATTTCGTCTCGTAGGACATATATCCTCGTCCGAAGGAATGTCACCCGGGTCGTTGTGCTTAACGCCATCCATACTGAAGTAAAATACGGCTACATTAAGGTTTCTAGCGGTAACAGCATGTTCTCCTTCGTTGTTATATTGTTGTTGATATCTAAACACTGCTCATTGGAATTCCACGAAATTTTTGTAGGCAGAGACGAGGATTCATTTCCTAGCTGAAAACGGTAGTCATTTGGCGCTCAGGATGAATTATTACCTTACCCTTGTGATGTTCTACTTGATATGTTCCACAGCAGCGATGTAGAGCGGAGTGCTTTGATCCGAGAAAATTTCTCTGGTTTCATAGCAACTCCTTCGGGCAGGACCTGTGGAGCTCAGGTCTGGGTGACCGTCGGCAAAAACTCGCAAAGCGTCGGGACCTGCTTGGTAAAACGGAAAGTTGATCATTCCTGCTAATACATCATTTCAAAGGTTAGCAGGCCTAACACAGATTTTTAAATTATGCGAAAAGACTGAGTCGAACAAACGAAGACTAATCTATCCTAAATGATAGATAAAAGGAACAATAAATCGGGGGGGGTTGAATGCAGTAACCAGCATGCTAAGCTGCACGTGTAACTGCACATCATTGGTTCTGACGAGCACGACCACAGGGTACTCACTCCCCAGATATATAAAGGGCTTGCACACCCTGGGGAAATCCAGGCTATTCCTCCTTCGAGAGCACCTATTCCCATGCTCCATGCCTCGCTGATCCGGGGGTTGGTGTCAAATCAAAAGATTCCATACTCAGTTGCCCGATCTCCGCTTGCTGGTTTACCGACTGTCAGTCGTTCCCTGCTAACCTTTGAAATGATGTATTAGCAGGAATGATCAACTGTCCGTTTTACCAAGCAGGTCCTGACCTTCCTTTCTCAAGCGAATAACATCCCGTTCCTTCTTCACCCTACTTGTTTTTTCTACTGTGGGTCATTATTGGCGTCACGGGATACTGATGTCGCTCAAACATCTTGCGGGGCAAGATTTGTCCGTGGCAGGCGCGGCAAAATAAATCAACCCGCCCGCCCTGGTGTCCCTTAGGTAATGGGTTATCGTGCCGCTCATACGAACTACCAATGGCAGCAGTCGAAGTTAAGCTTCACCTACTACGTTGCAGCAGCTTTCCGCCAATAGTTATCCCAGCGTCGCCGTCTTGTGACAGTGCGACCCGCAGCGCTTGTGCTCAGGCCCATGGTGTTGGATGTGTTGTGCTGACAATTGGTGAGCGGATATGCGAGAGCCTGGTGATGAGCGGAGTACTGGCTAAGGAGCTGAGTGTGCAAATAACCTAACGGACTGGCGCTGTGCGCTGTCTCACGTCATTTCTACCGGAGATGCTGGGGTTCAGCAGGCACCCTAGCCACTCGCAAGGTATAAATTGATGAGCCTAGCTCTCACCAGAGAAATCCTTTTTTCGCCGGAATAAACTCAGTGTTGCTCCTAAATAAGGCTATTAACGCGGACTTTTCTTCTGACGCTTTTCAACATTATAACTTCATCGAAATGACACCTTGCACCTGTAACTGCTGCGGTGGCAACTGCGGCTCTTGCTCCTGCTCCTCGTGCACTGTGAGTTGCTCCCTTTCTAGGGATTTGAAAGTCATTTCGCTGATTTTGTATTTACCGTGTAGCACTAAGTCCACCTCGACGACATGGGGCTGGCTTGTGATGGTTCCGGTTGCGTGGGAAGCTGTTGCAACAGACGCCGTGGACACTGAGAAGCCGTTCTTTTTCTTTGTCACGCCCTTATTTCCGTTCTGAGTTAGTGCTGGAAAGCATAGTTGAAAGAAAGGGGTTGGATGCGATGGGCCTTCAGAGTGCTTGACCGAGAATTTCCTCCTACTTGTTGAATTCTGTTTGTGTTTAGCAATGCCTCTTGGGCATAGTCGCTCATTTCATTATAATAACAATCCCGCTCTTTCATAGTGGAATAAGTATACTGTCGAGAAGACTGCAAACATGTTAGAATATGGTATTGTGCGACTAAATTCCTTGCAGCTCCATTCGAATAGAACTTGGAATAGGTTTATAACTAAAGGTGCAAGGCCACCACGTTGGGGGCATATGTAGCATTTTACCTGAGATTTTACGCTATCCTTATTGAGGAATGAGGTTCCAATTTAATGAGGCGGAACCCTTTTGAAATCTGCTTTACCTCGATTCTGCTCATTGGCTGGAGCTGTATCGAGTACACTCTTAATTGCAATTTCCCGCGACTGGTGAAAAAGGCATATCTTTGCCAGATAGGTGACACGACCAAGGATGGCCCATGGGGGTAAGTACCTTGGCAGCCACCACGGGCTGAACATCTCCTTGCTTCGACTCTGTGCTCAGAGTACCTTGGTATCTGGATGAAGTTTCAGGTGCGGATCATACCTTAGCAATTCTATTTCGTCAAGACTTCTTAGCTCCAGGTAAAATTTCTTCAACAGCAAGCAAGCAGGCATAATATTAGAAACTGTAGACTGCGATATCCCTAGCTTTCGTTACATATGGTCCTAATATGATCGGCCAAACGATTGAAAGGCTTGTGTGTTCCATTTACGATGCATGATCACGTCGATCTTCCCCTGGTGTAAGCTTGACATGG